CGCCTCCGCCGCCTCCTCCACCGCCACCACCTCCGCCACCACCGCTCCCACCGCCACCGCCGCCGCCGCCTCGGCCTCCACTGCCGCCACCGACACCTCCACCCCCACCTCCACTCCCACCGCCACCCCCACTCCCCCCGCCGCCTCAACCTCCACCTCCACCGCCCCCGCTCGCTCCTCCAGTGCTCTGCCCCCCTTGCCCCTACCAGAGCGGCGTCTCCCGCTAGGGGCAGACGCCGCACCGACCGACTCAAGACCAAGGAGGTCGGCCGCAGCAGCAGAGGCAACAGAGGGCAGAAGGGGGGAGGGGGAACACCCCTCAAAGATGGGGGTGCGCGGGTCACCACGAGAGGCCCCTACAGCGACTATGCTCTTCTCGGCCGCTAGGAGGGACTTCTCGAGGAGGTCAACAGTGAGAGTGGTGGGACAGACTGAGAGGAAGTGGTCCCTGACTACGCGAAGGGAGTCAGGGAGGCGAGTGACTATGTAGTAGAGAGTGATGTACATGGGGGGGGGGGGGGGGGGGGGGGGGTTCTTGGCGCAGAAGTCAGCAGGAAGCGCAGCGCGGTAGCGAGTGTCACTAGTGCGGAGGTGCGTAATGAGGTCAGCAATAGTGGGAAAGGCAGCAAGGTCAGGGAAGAGGTACGGTAGCATGAGACGGCTCAGTGCAGCAGTGGCAGGGGAGGAGTAGCGTGCAACTACAGCGTCGTACAAGGTCTGAGCACTCTTGTACTGACTAAAGTGCGCACGCTCAGAGGTAGGGAGGTGGCGACGCACAGCAAGACGTGCAGCAGCATCGCGCGTGGCCCACTGTGAGCGAACAGTGGCGTCAGCATCAGCAGCAGGAGCAGGAGAGGCACCAGAGGTGAGGTCAAAGAGGGAGAGACCGTCTGCCCTATCGCACTGTAAGAACAGCTGCAGGTCATCTACCCAGACGTCAAAGTCAATGGCTCGACCCTCGGCGTCAAAAGCGAGGACACTAGGGGTAGCCATGACAACAGTAGACTAGCAGCGCTGACTGTAGAGCAGGGGCAGTGCAGTGACAGAGGCGCTGCGCTCACCAGACAGGGCGGTTCGGGCAGCTCGGGCGGCTCGGCAGCAACTGCGGCTCGGCGGCACCCGCGGCTCGGCTCCTCAGCTGCTCAGGCGGCTCGGGCGGCTCGAGCGGCTCGGGCGGCTCGGGCGGCGCGGGTGGCTCGGGTGGCTCGGGCGGAACGGGTGGCTCGGGCTGCTGAGCGGCGCTGGCGGCTCGGCTGCGTAGGCGGTTCGGGCGGGGCCGTAGGTAGGGCGACGGGGCCGGGTCGAAGGTAGGGCGACGGGGCCGGTGCGCATGTAGGGCGACGGGGCCGGGGCGCAGGAAGGGCGACGGGGCCGGGTCCAAGGTAGGGCGACGGGGCCGGGGCCGGGCCGTAGGTAGGGTGACGGGGCCGGGGCCGGGCCGTAGGTAGGGCGACGGGGCCGGGTTGAAGGTAGGGCGACGGGGCTGGGCCGTAGGCAGGGCGACGGGGCCGGGGCCGGGCCGTAAGTAGGGCGACGGGGCCGGGTCGATGGTAGGGCGACGGGGCTGGTGCGCAGGTAGGGCGACGGGGCTAGGGCCGGGGCCGCAGGTATGGCGACGGGGCCAGGGTCGCAAGGGGGGGGGGGGGCGACGGGGCCGGGGTCGCAGGTAGGGCGACGGGGCCGGGGTCGTAGGTAGGCCGACGGGGTCGCTAGGGCGACGAATCAGGGGCTGCTAAGGCGGCGCGACTTGGCCGCTAGGGCGGCTCGACAAAGTCAGAGAAGGGAGCGCGACTCGGGCAGAGCGCGCTCCGGGCAGGAAAAAAAAACTTTCGACTTTGTGGGCCCTAGGCACAGTTCCCACGAGGGAACCTACTCGATACCTTGTGAGAATTGAAACGAGAATGAGTGCACTAAGGAATGGAATGTGGTACAAATATGCAACCCTAGAAATGTGTACCCCATATAGGCTACCCCACTACAGCCTACATAACATTATGATTTGACACAAGCAAGTGAAGGTATAGAAAGAGTATAGTACAAACAAGATCAAGAAGTGAGCAAGTGAGGCAAGACACGCACAAGACCTAGCAAAGTACAGAAGCGCTGATGATCACAAGGCGGAAGGGCCTTGGTGAAGATATCAGCAGTGTTGGCCTCAGAGGCCACGTAGGTGAGGCAGAGCTGACCACGCTGCTGCAGCTCACGAGCCAGGAAGTAGCGGAGAGCAATGTGCTTCGTTCTATGCTCCAATCAGTGCTCCCGACACAAGGCCAGCATGGCCTTGTTGTCTACGTACAGAACTGGAGGTGAACGAGGCGGCTCTCCTAGGTCAGTCACCAGGTAGGTGAGCCAGCGTAGCTTCTGTGCAGCCATGGCCCCTGCGTAGATCTCAGCCTCACAGCTGGAGCTGAGAATAGAGGACGAGCGGGTAGACCGCCACGAAACAGAGCCGGAGCCAAGGCTGAAGGTGTAACCCTGTGACGACCGCTGCAGAGCCTGGTAGTCAGCCCAAGAAGCGTCAGCGTGACCTGTGAGGACCACTCGACGTCGCCCTCCAAGCACTAGCCCCATGCTCGACATACTGCACACGTAGCGCAACACCCTCTTCGCTCCAGCCATGTGCTTTGGTCGGTGTCTCCCAGGTGCAACATAGCGTGCCAAGATGCTAAGAGGGCATGCAAGGTCAGGGCGTGTGCAGGTCATCAGGTACATGAGGCAGCCAACAAGCTCTGGGTACGGGCCACTTGGCTCTATGGACTCATCCGAAGGCAGAGCTGAGAGCGAGTGGCGAGTAGACAGAGGAGTGGCCTGCGGCGAGGAGTACGTGAAGCCGAAGCGCTGAAGGACCTGCTGCACCATGTGTGACTGAGTCAGGGTAATGGTGCGCTGTGCTCTGTCCCGGGTGATCTACAAGCCAAGGTAGCTGCGCAGTTCACCCAGGTCTGTGCACGTGTGTCTCTTCTGCAGCTCGGACTTCACGTGGGCGGGTCCAGCAGTGTCAGCTGTGGCGAAGACCAAGTCGTCGACGTACACGAGGATGTAGAACGGCGGCAAAGAGGTGTCGGTGCGCAGAAACAGCGACGGGTCGGCTGTAGAAGGAGCAAACCCAAGAGCCGCAAGTGTAGTCCTCAGTGTGTCGTGCCACTCACGGGGTGCCTGGCGGAGACCGTAGACTGGCCGCCGGAGGCTCCACTGGGTACCAGGGGGAAACGACCCAGTGAAGCCAGGTGGGCGGCGCAGCCAGATCTCCTCGTGCAGGCTGCCCTGCAAGATAGCTGTGCTGAAGTCAAGAGAGTGAAGCTCGTAGTCGCGCTGAGCGGCTATGTGCAGCAGCACCCGAGGAGTGGTCATCTTCGGGGTGGGAGAGAAGGTCTGGAAGTAGTCAACTCCCTGCCGCTGACTGAAGCCTCGAGCCACGTAACGCGCCTTGAAGACAGGCGGAGAACCCGGAGGCCGCTTCACCCTGAAAATCCACATGCCACTGACGATGTCCGCCCCAGGTGGGGGAACCTCGTCGATGTAGGTGCCTGTTGACTTCCAGGAAGCCATCTCTGCGTCCATGGCTGACTGCCACTGTGAGGAGTAGGGACCCTCGATCGCCTCAGCGTACGATCGAGGAGTCGGGATGTCTGGTGCATCCGGGTCTCCCTCAGGGGCAATCAGCGTGGACACGAGATGGGGCAAAGCAGCAGCAAAGCACTGGAACTCCTCCTACCTGTCCTCAAGGACGTCCGTGCTAAGAGCACACTCACCCCCGACGGACGGAGGACAAACAGACTCAGACTCAGCAACGAGACTGGCAGCGTAGTCTAGACGACAACAAGCAGCAGAGTCGACAAGCTCAGCAACTAGGGCAGACGCAGCAGTGGACTCAAAGGAAGGGTCGGTGACAACAGTAGCAAGGAGACGCGTGACCGAAGGACTAGCCGCACGAAGGGAGTCAGACTCCGGGTTAGCAAGAGTAGGAAGAGAGGACTCTGGAGGAGACGGCAACAGGACACGCAGTGGAGCAGTGGAAGGACGCAGTGCCATCTGGTGTGTGCCGGGGACCACAGGGGGACGCGGACGCGCAGTACGACCACTAGTGCGAGCAGGACGAACAGGCGACGCAGGAAGAGACGCAGGCACACGACGCTCAGCAAGACCTCCAGTAGGACCAGTGTAGGGAGAAGGAGCAGGTAGAGGGGAGGCGGGCTGTAACTGTGACTGCGACTGGACAGGCTGTGGACACTCTAAGGAAGGAGGAGGACTAGGAGAGGGCGAGAGACCAAGAACCTGCTCCAGGAGCGGAACGAAGTACGGCCTCGGCCGCTCAGCGCCTCCAGAACCAGCAGGGACGGCACCAGTACCCCAAGCGGCAGCACCTGCGCCAGCAGCACCTCCATCTCCAACAGCGCCAACTCCTGCACCCTCAGAAGCACCAGCGCCAGCAGCACCGCTAGTGCCAACACCCCCAGTAGCTCCAGCTCCAGCAGCACCAACTCCAATAGGACTGTCAGCTCCAGCAGCCTCAGCAGCACGCCCAGACGCAATAGCGTCAGTGGAAACACCACCGCCAACACCCCCAGCAGCTCTAGCTCCAGCAGCACTAGTACCGCCAGCAGCTCCAGCAGGACCAACTCCAGTAGCCCCAGCAGCACCCCCAGTCTCAGCAGCGCGTCTCCAGCGGCGGGCAAACCACTCGTGCAACTCCTGTGGAGAGAGTGGCTCCCGCCTCAACGAGGCACCGCCGGCGGCCACACGAGCAGACCTAGCGCCCCCAGGCTCGGCACCCCCAGGCTCCGCACCTTCAAGCTCCGTACCCCCAAACCCAGCACCCCCAGGCTCAGCACCCCCAGACTCAGCACCCCCAGACTCAGCACCCCCAGTCTCTGCACCCCCAGACTCCGCACCCCCATGCTCAGCACCCCCAGTCTCAGCACCCCCAGACCCGGCACCCGCAGGCTCAGCACAATTAGCAGCACCAGAGTCAACAGCTACCTCGACAGGCTCGACTGTGTCTACCTGGGACACACCTGACGGGGCAGGACCCTGAGGGGGGATGGGGTCTACCGGGGGAGGACCTGGTGCAAGGAAGAGCGGTGGCGTGGGGAGGGGCACAGTGCGGTAGGGGAAGAGACAGTAGTAAGGCACCGACTCGTCAAAGGTGACGTCCTGGGAGGACAGAACACGGCGCGAGGTGGGGTGGTAAAACTGCCACCCAGGCCCGTCAGGGGGGAAGCCAAGGAAGACGCAGGGAACAACACGGGGGGACAGCTTGTCCGCAGACAAGTCGCGGACAAACGCCCGAGATCCCCACACCCGAAACGCAGACGCATCGCCAACCTTTTCGGTCCACCGTAAGGCGGGGGAGGTCTCTGGCAAGGAGACCCGGGGCTGAAGGTTGAGCTGATGCGCGACGTACTGAACCGCAAACGGCCACAGAAAATGGGGGGCAGCCGCATGCATCATGGACGTACGAGCGACGTCCATGACTATGCCAATGCGGCGCTCAGCAATCCCATTTTGCTGTGGAGATGCCGGAAGCGTGAAGGTCTGGCAGATGCCCTATGCACGACAGAAGGCTCCCAGACGAGCAGAGGAAAACTCCCCGCCTCTGTCCGAGTGCAGACGCAGAACAGGAAAGTCCGAGCCGAAACTCTCTCTGAGCTGGAGACGAGCTGCGCGGATCCAGTCGATCAACACCTCAGTGACGTCACCCTTGCAGCGCAAGGGGAAGACTGTGGTGTAACGCGAGTAGTCGTCAACAACCAACAGGAAGTAACGCTCGTGCCCCTGTCCACGGACGCGGGCGGGGCCCGAAACGTCCGTGTGGAGGGTCTGTAGCGGAGCCTCTGTCGGAGGAAATTCAGAGGAGTGAGGGGCGGCGCGCTGTCGGTCCGCTCCACTCACCAAGTTCGTAGAGAACGAGGGGAGGTAGAGACTTGACAGGGTGCCAGAGGGGGCTGCCGGGCACGGTAAGACAGTGGAGAAGCTAGCAAGGACAGGACCCCCAGAGGGATCTGCCAGGGAGACTGCAACCGGCCGACTGAGCGGCGTAAGAGTGGTGCGGTCTTGAAAGAAGGAGCGGGACGCACCCGAGTCAAGGGTGAAGGTGTGGAAGGCCTGAGCCGACATAGTACCTGAGAGAGCAGACTCACCAGCACCTGGGGCAACAGACGCACTGGCACCTAGGACAGCAGACGCACTGGCACCTGGGGCAGCAGACGCACTAGCACCTAGAGCAGCAGCCTCACCAGCACCTAGAGCAGTGGCCTCAATGCCCGGGTCAGGCGGTACACACAGGTAACAATCACCCTCAACACTAGTAGTCACAGAATACATGGCAGCAAGGATAGCATCATAGTCAAGATCAAAGACGGCAACCCCCGCCCTAGACAGATCTCCCCAGCGAGGGATCTCTGACGCCTCAGGGAACTGGCGACGCCATGCGTCCGCAGGCGACCGAAGCAGCGCTGGGTGGAGTGCGGGCCCCCGCACTGCTCACCAGCTCGGTCACCGGTACGGAGGACGTAAGTGCAGGGACCAAAACCCCCACCGCGCTGGCGCGCAGTGTACCACTCACGAAGCTGCTGAGGGGACAGGGTCACACCACTCCGCTGCTACTGCTGGCGCGGACCACCACCTGAGCCACTCCTCTGCGCAGAGTCGCGACCCACTCCACCACCGCCGCCGCCGCCGCCGCCGCCTCCACCGCCTCCTCCACCTCCGCCTCCTCCTCCGCCTCCGCCACCTCCGCTCCCTCCGCCACCACCGCCCCCTCCGCCGCCTCCACTGCTGCCGCCGCTGCCGCCACCCCCGGCACCACTCCCACCACCACCCCCACTCCACCTCCACTGCATCCACCACCACCTCCACCGCCCCCGCCAGCCCCTCCAGCGCCCTTGCCCCCCTTGCCCTTGCCGGTGCGGCGTCTCCCGCTCGGGGCAGACGCAGCGCCGACCGACTCGAAACCAACGAGGTCCGCCGCAGCAGGAGAGGCAACAGAGGGCAAGAGGGGGGAGGGAGAACACCCCTCAAAGACGGGGGTGCGAGGGTCACCACGAGAGGCTCCTACAGCGACTATACTCTTCTCTGCTGCTAGGAGGGCCTTCTCGAGGAGGTCAACGGTGAGAGTGGTGGGGCAAACTGAGAGGAAGTGGTCCCTTACTACGCGGAGAGAGTCAGAGAGCCGGGTGACTATGTAGTAGAGGGTGATGTACATGGGGGGGGGGGTTCTTGGCGCAGAACTCAGTAAGAAGCGCAGCGCGGTAGCGAGTGTCACTAGTGCGGAGGTGTGTAATGAGGTCAGCGACTGTGGGAAAGGCAGCAAGGTCAGGGAAGAGGTACGGTAGCATGAGGCGGCTCAGTGCAGCAGTGGCAGGGGAAGAGTAGCGTGCAACTACAGCGTTGTACAAGGTCTGAGCACTCTTGTACTGGCTAAAGTGTGCACGCTTAGTGGTCAGTAAGTGGCGGTGCACAGCAAGGCGAGCAGCAGCATCACGCATGGCCCACTCTGAGCGAACAGTTGCGTCAGCATCAGCAGCAGGGGCAGGAGAGGCACCAGAAGTGAGGTCAAACAGGGAGAGACCGTCTGCCCTATCGCACTATAGGAAAAGCTGCAGATCATCTACCCAGACCTCAAAGTCAACTACCCGACCCTCAGCGTCAAAGGTGAGAACACTAGGGGAGGCCATGACAGCAGTAGACAGGCAGTGAGTACAGTGGGGCAGGGCAGTGCAGTGGTAGAGGCGCTGCTCTTACCAGGCAAGTGGGGCGGTACCGGGCAGGCCGACAGGCGGCAGCGCCTCGGCTGCGGTGCGGCTCGGCGGCTTGGCTGCTGGGCGGCTCGGCGGTCGGGCGGCTCGGCTGCAAGGCGGCTCAGCGGTCAAGCGGCTCGGCTGCAGGGCGGCTCGGCTGCTCGGCGGCTCGGCTGCTCGGCGGCTCGCCTGCTCGGTGGCTCGGCTGCTCGGCGGCTTGGCTGCTCGGCGGCTGGGCGGCTCGGCGGCTCTGGCGCTGGGCGGCTGAGTGGGGACGGGGCCGCGGAAGGGCGGCGACGGGGCCGCTGAAAGGGCGGCGACGGGCCGCTGAAAGGGCGGCGACTGGCCGCTGAAAGGGCAGCGACGGGTCCGTGTAAGGGTGGCGACGGGGCCGTTGTAGGGCGGCGACAGGGCCGCGGAAAGGCGGCGACGGGGCCGCTGAAAGGGCGGGCGGCGACGGGGCCGCTGAAAGGGCGGCGACGGGGCCGCTGAAAGGGCGGCGACGGGGCTGTGGACGAGCGGCGATGGGGCCGCTGGAGGGCGGCGACGGGGCCGTGGAAGGGCGGCGTCAGGGCCGCGAAGGGGCGGCGACAGGGCCGCGGAGGGGCGGCGTCGGGGCCGCGGAAGGGCGGCGACGGGGCTGCTGCAAGGGCGGGCGGCGAGGCCGTGGAAGGGCGGCGACGGGGCCGCTGAAAGGGCAGCGACGGGGCCGCGGAAAGGGCGGCGTCGGGGCCGCTGAAAGGGCGGCGATGGGGCCGCGAGGGCGGTGCAAAGAGGGCCGCAAGGGCGGCGCGACGGGGCCGTGAGGACGGCGCGACGGGGCCACTAGGGGCCGTGAGGGAGGCCGCTAGAGGCCACGAAGGGGAGTCACACGGGGCGCGACTCGGGCAGAGGCCAAGCACGCTCCGGGCAGGAAAAAAAAAAGGTCGGTGGGCCCTAGGAACAGTTCCCACTGTGGAACCTGCTCTATACCATGTGAGAAATAGAAAGAGAATGATTGAACTATGAAATAGTTGGGTACAAGTGCTAACCCTAATTGGGTTGTACCCCTTATGGGCTACCCCACTACAGCCTACACAGATGTATAAGCTATAATGTTCTGACACCCTAGTGGGAACGCTTCCTTGGGCCCACCACTGAAAATGTTTTTCTGACCGGAGCGTCAGTCGCTCCTGCCCGAGGCGCGCCTTGTTCGCCACCCTTCCATGCCCCTAACGGCCCCTAGCAGCCTCGTCGCCGCCCCTACGCGGCCCTGTCGCCGCCCCTAGCGGCCCCGTCGCCACCCCTAGCGGCCCCGTCGCCGCCTCTCTCCCTACGCGGCCCCGTCGCCGCCCCTAGCGGCCCCGTCGCCGCTCCCCTTCCTACGCGGCCCCGTCGCCGCCCCTACGCGGCCCCGTCGCCGCCCCTTAACGGCCCCGTCGCCGCTCCCCTCCCTACGTGGCCCAGTAGCCGCCCCTAGCGGCCTCGTCGCCGCCCCTACGCGACCCCGGAGCCGCCCCTATCGGCCCCGTCGCCGCTCCCCTCCCTACCTGGCCCCGTCGCCGCCCCTAGCGGCCCCATCGCCGCCTCTGCCGACTCGTCGCCGCCTCTACCGAGCAGCCCAGCAGCTGAGCCGCCCAATAGCAGAGCCGCCGAGCCGGAGCCGCCGAGCGGCCCAGCAACCGAGCCGCAGAGCTGCCCGACAGCTGAGCCGCCCTGCCGCCGAGCCGCCCAGCAGCCGAGCCGCCGAGTCGCCCAGCAGCCGAGCCGCCGAGCCACAAAGCCGCCCAGCAGCCGAGCCGCCGAGCCGCCTGACAGCCGAGCCGCCCAGCAGCCGAGCCGCAAAGCCGCCGAGTCGCCCAGCAGCCGAGCCGCCGAGCCGCCCTGCCGTCGAGCTGCTACTGTTCCTACTGGCACGCCCCGGCCCTACTTACTCGGACTGATGAGATCACTCCCTGCTAGGCCACTACAGTCATGGCTACCCCCAGTGTTCTTACCTTTGATGCTGAGGGTCGTGCTGTTGACTTTGAGGTCTGGGTCGATGACCTCCAGCTGTTCCTACAGTGCGATAGGGCAGACGGACTCTCCCTGTTTGATCTCACCTCTGGTGCCTCCCCTGTCCCGCCTGCAACTGCTGACAGTACTGTTCGCTCACAGTGGGCCACACGCGATGCTGCTGCCCGTCTTGCTGTGCGTCGCCACTTACCGACCACTGAGCGTGCACACTTTAGCCAGTACAAGAGTGCTCAGACCTTGTACAACGCTGTAGTTGCACGCTACTCTTCCCCTGCCACAGCTGCGCTGAGCCACCTCATGCTACCGTACCTCTTCCCTGACCTTGCTGCCTTTCCCACAGTCGCTGACCTCATTACGCACCTCCGCACTAGTGACACTCGCTACCGCGCTGCGCTTCCTGCTGAGTTCTGTGCAAAGAACCCCCCCCCCCCCCCCCCCCCCCCATGTACATCACCCTCTACTTCATAGTCACCCGGCTCCCTGACTCCCTTCGCTTAGTCAGGGACCACTTCCTCTCAGTTTGCCCCACCACTCTCACTGTTGACCTCCTAGCAGCAGAGAAGAGCATAGTCGCCGTAGGAGCCTCTCGTGGTGACCCTCGCACCCCCGTCTTTGAGGGGTGTTCCCCTTCCCCCCTCTTGCCCTCTGTTGCTTCTGCTGCTGCGGCCGACCTCGTTGGTTTCGAGTCGGTCGGCGCTGCGTCTGCCCCTAGCGGGAGACGCCGCACCAGCAGAGGCAATGGGGGCAAGGGCGCTGGGGGGGCTGGCGGGGGCGGTGGAGGTGATGATGCCTGCTGCTTGCTTCTATTCCTCTTGTTTGATGATGAGCAACAGTAGCTGTTGGTGCAACCCTACGGTTTGTACTCGGCTTGTTGTCCGTGTGCGTGCAGGCGTGTGTGCATGGAATGAAATGAGTGCATGAAATAAATATATATTTCATGCTTATAATAGTGTGTGAATGATGGGTCATGATGTCAAGTGTGTGTGTCAAGTCAATAGCGAATTATCGCTAGTCGCGTGTAACGTGGTCGTTTTGTGTGTCCCGCGTGGTTTCTATTTTGTCGTGCGCGGTTTCTATTTTGTCCTGTGTCGAACGTTCGTCGTGTCGCAGGTGTGTGCAGCAGACCCATCAAGAACTCAAGGATGAGTTTGTGATGAAGAACCCGAGCCCTGGTGTCAACATTCAAGTAATCGCGAAGCCCGCGGAAAAGGGTACACCCCATGATATTGAAGATAGTTACATTACTTTGTGTAGTTTAACATTTCACTTGGTGTAGGCCCTAGTGAAGGGTAGTTTCGAGACCCTTCATGGTTGGGGACAATGTGGCACTGTTCCACATCACTGTACCTTGGCTCTTGGGGTTTGTAGGAGCTGGGAGTCATTCCCAACTCGTAACTCTCCCTAACTCTTCCTATCTTGTGTTCTAAGACTATAGTGGCTGCCATAGTGCCGTTCGTTCAAACCAACGTTGTGTCGTCAATACTTGGTCAAATCGTGTGATCTAAATTGCCTAGTGTAGGCAACAATAAGACGCTCCACATCCAAGTTGAATCAAGTCATTTGATGTTATGACCAGAACGCTATGAACGTTTGAAGCCGCTGTGCAGAAATCCGACTGTGCACTCTATCTTTCGTTTTACGCACATTGGAGCCTACTGTGACTATAACAAGTGGTATCAGAGCCCCTTGGAGCAGTTTCGACAATGGCTCGACCTAAGGAAAGGGGTGGCAGAGGTGCTGGTGGCAGAGGAGAAGCCCAAGCTCAAGGCCAACCCCGTGATTCAACCATGGCGCCCGTGCAACCAAGTGTTGGCCCATCTAGGGATGAGCCTAGAGTGTTTGGCCTTGACAAGTTCAATGGTGACAACTTTGCTGAGTCGTCCTTCAAAATGGAGAACATATTTGACCACTATGACCTGCTGGAGGTAATGGAAGGAACGGAGAAGCGTCCCGAGAACGACCCGGAGAAGAGCCCGTGGGTGCGGAAGAGCGCACAAGGCTACCTCCTACTTGGGCAAGCGTTGGGGAGCAGCCAAATCCGTCACATCAAGCCTTTCCAGCATGAACCAGAGAAGGGACCAAAGGCATGGGCTGCTCTCAAGGGTGTACACGCTCCTGCAACAGCGGCGGTAGCTGTGGTGTTGGAACGGCAAATGGCGACACTACGAATTGAAGAGGATGAAGCGGTTGAAGAAGGGGTGCAGAAATTCTTCCACTTGTTGACGCGGCTTGAGGGAGCGGATTTGAGCTATAGTGAGCTCCAAAAGAAGACCAAGTTGCTGGCCCTACTTCCAGAATCATGGTCCTCGCTCATCATCAACTTGAATCGCGACTTGCCCCGCCTCTCGCTCGAAGATGTGAAGCGAGCTATCCTTCAAGAGGATTTCCGCCGCCGTGAGTTGGAGAGTGCGGATGGCGCTGGGGCAGCGAGCATCAGCCGTGAATATGGTCAAGGAAGAGGCAGAGGACG